GCTATCCAACAGCCGGCAACTGTGTTGCCCCCCCCCAGGCTGAGGCCCTGGTGCTCCCGCACCGGCCGCAATTCCGCCACTGCATAGACTTCCGCTAAAGTTGGAGCTTAGTTTCTTCCACCTGCGGATCATTACACAGCTGAGGGGCTGGTTTCTACAAACCTAGAGTAGGTATCTGGTAGACTAATAAAATATACACTGCCTGTCCAAAAATAAAAAAAAGTAACTTCCTGGATTTTGGTAAGCAAATAGGTCAGAGCCTTCCATTGGATAATAGGTCTAGGCTTAGCAATGTTATGTGCCCAAAAAATGAGGTCAGCTGCCGACCTGAATATACTGGATGACCAGGATTTTTCCAGCAATAGGTTTTTTTCTTCCCTGATGACACGGACATATTCCAAGGTGAAAATGCCAGGATTCATTGGGTTCAAATTGTGAAAGAGTGGGGTTAAGGTCTGGACTGTGGTGGCCAATCAATGTGTGATAATGATGTCTCATGCTCCCTGAACCACTCTTTCACAATGTGAACCCGATAAATCCCGGAATTGTCATCTTGGAATATTCCCAATGTGCCACCAGGGAACAAAAAAATTAATTGATGGAAAAACCTGGACATTCAGTATATATTCAGGTAGGCAGCTGACCTCATTTTTGGGCACATAACATTGCTGAACCTAGACCTGACCAGCTGATGCAACCACAGAACACTGCCCCAACAGGCTTGTATGATAGGCACGATGGGTGCATCACTTCATCTGCCTCTCTTCTTACCCTAGTGTGCCCATCACTCTGCAACAGGGTAAATCTGGATTCATCAGGCCACATGACCCTTTTCCATTACTCAGAGTCCAATCGTTATGCTCCCAAAAAGATTGGAGCCTTATTTTCCTGATTAGCCTCACCGATTAATGTTTTTTTTAAGGCCACACAGCTGTTCAGTCCCAATCCCTGGGGTTCTCTTTGCGTTGTGCGTATGGAAATGTTTTTACTTTCACTATTAAACACATTTGTGAGTTCTACTGCTGTTTTTTTTTACGATTTGATCTCTGATCACGATCATCCAACATTTTCTTCCAACCACATTTCTTCCTCGAAGATGATGGTACACCACTAACCTTCCAGGTTTTAGTGATATAAATAATAATAATAATGCGGTGAACAGTTCTTAACCCAGTTTCAGTAGTTTCAGCAATCTTCATAGTTGTTTTCTTTGCTTGTTGCAGGCCTATTTGACCCTTCTGAAACAGAGTTGTATCTTTTCCATGACCACAGGATACTGTATGTCTTCTGACACGGTTGTTTAAGATATGAGAAGTTACTCACTACATCAGTTAGGCTGGGTTCACACTTGGGCGTTTTTCAGCGCTGATCGAAGCGCTGAAAAACGCTCAAGCAGTGAAATCCTATTAACTCCTATGGGCATGGTTCCCACCTGGGCGTATTTCAGCACGTTTTGACGCCCTACGCCCGAAATAGTACAGGAGCTTCTTTGGGGCGGATTTCAGCGCGTATCCATTGGTATTCCCGAGTGTGGCTCGGGGTTAACAAAACGGTAACCCCGAGCCACACTCGGGAATACAGCGTAGGTCTTACCTTGTCCGCGATCCCCGCTGTGTCCTCCGGCCGCTGCCGTCTTCCAAGGTCCGCCCCTTACGAGCGTCCACATCGCAGGGGGCCGGATCCAACGGGAAGTTTAAAAGTTAAAAAAAAAACGAAAAAAAGATACAGAAAAAAAGGAAAAGAATAATCATACCGCCAGGGAGGTTAAAAAATGAGCGTTGAACGTGCGTTTCATTGAACAAAAAAACATGCTTATAACGTGCTAAAAACGAGCATAAAACGCACCTATTAGGAACGCTCAGGTGTGAACCCAGCCTTAGGGTTAAATAACTTGTTGCTGACTAAAACATAATAATCAAGGCAGTAATTATCCATTGGAAGGCTATTTTCGGCTTTTTATCTAAATCAACACTGCAGATTGCTTTCTTACCTATATAGATACCTCAAAGTTCTCCCGTCACTCCTGTGATAGTACAGGAGAAGTTGTGTTCCTCTTGTACTATCACTGAGACACTTAAGTTTACTGGTTTCGTTGATGCACTTGTGATGTCTGCAGGATATAACATTTGCCTAAACAAAGCAGTAAAGCCGGGAAGCATTACAGCACCACGTAGCTACAACAAACATGGAGCTATTTTTCATCTAATATGAACTCATGCGACAAGAGGTTTGGACTGAAAATAAGTAAAGCTGGAGGAACAAGAAATGTTTCACATTTTCCACAATAGACTGGAAAACTATTAAAAGCTGCCCATTAAAAAGGAAATCATGTTCAATTTATGCGGTCATTTGTGCCGTTATCTCTTTTCTTCCTCTTCCCTTTTCCAATGCCAACTGGAGCGGTAAAGTGAAGAAAGACCTCCAGCAAACTGTGGAATCCAGGGACTAGAGGACTGTACAGGACATGCGATTAGTGTCCATGCACTGAGTGACACAGAAGATTATTTAAATTATATGTGCGGTCTGATGGAACTGACGGTTACCAAAAAACATTGAAATCCAGCATCGCTGTCACTCAGGACTGGGCTTCTAACTCGAGATATACATTTTTATCCCCCAACCTAGTGGCAAGAATGCCATGCGAACGGCCTTCGCCCAGCATATGGCTGGGTAAAAGATTTATATATTTATAACCCTTTAAACTCTCTATAGACATACATCAAGTTTTGTTCTTTTAGCACAGGCTCATGATGTCATTAATACATATACATAAATGCATACGGTGTATATAATACATATATACACCGATCAGCCACAACACTATGCACTATGGGAAGAAGGCAGTGTGATGCTTTAGGTAATGTTCTGCTGGGAAACCTTGGGTCCTACCATTCATGTAGATGATACTTGGACACGTACTACCGACCTAAACATTGTTGCTGATCAAGTATACCCCTTCATAGAAACGGTATTTCCTGATTGCAGTGGCCTCTTTCAGCAGGATAATGATCCCTGCCATACTGCAAAAATGGTTCAAGAATGGTTTGAGGAACACAACAAAGATTATGAGGTGTTCTCCAGATCTCAATCCAATCGAGCATCTGTGGAAAAGCAAGTCCAATCCATGGAGGCCCCACCTCACAACTTACAGGACTTAAAAAGATCTGCTACTGACGGCTTGGTGCCAGATACCCCAGCATACCTTCAGAGGTCTAGCAGAGTCTGTGCCTTGACTGGTCAGGGCTGCTTTGGAAGCAAAAGGGGGACCTACTCAGTATTAGGTGGGTGGTCATAATGTTATGGCTGATCAAATATTGTCAGGATCCACCCCGCTACCTGGCTGACCGCTGGCCCTGCCTCTCTACAACCAGCTGTGCCTGCCCCCTCCCCTGTCTGTCCCTCAAGTCAGCGCTGGTGGAACAGAGAAGGGAGAAAGGAATCCCTGCGGGCAATGATGACCAGGGAGAAGATCATGAGCTGAGTGATCAGCGGTATGTGACTTCTCAGTTCTCTAGCGATAGAGCCGGCAGTGTCACGTGCCAGCTCTAAGTATTGGGACAAGTAAATTTTCCTCTCCCAATACTTCTCCTTTATGGGCAGGCTGCAAACTCCTGTCAGATGATGTAATGCAACCTCTTTCTCGTTCTGTAAGTGAAGATGGAGGGGAGCTGCTTGAACTATGGAACACTCAGCCACCATTTTCACAGGTTCAGATTCAGGGCTGTCCAAAAGATGCGAATACTGGCACCTATAGTACACGGAACAGCTTGGTGTTGACAGGGCCATGAATAATGTGTCTCTTTGACTGGGGAATACCATTAAAGTGGAAGTCAAGGCACCAGAATTCTGGCTGTAGAGCAATATTGCATAATGTAAGGCACACTGACAAGGAGTATGGATGACTAATGTTCTTTTAACTTCCACTTTCAATATTCTATCATTATCTAGTATCCTAATGACTTAATAATTGTATAATTATGTATTTCTGCAATGCATTTTGTCATTGATTTGTAAATCACTATGGAGGCTGCTGATATTATTCAACATTAACCAGCTGCCAATGTCCTGAAGATTACAAATGACCGCTTACCGGAATAGTTCATCTACATTCTCAGCTCTTGATGGCTTGAACAACGGGCCCTCATTGTAGGCAGATGGCAGCAGCAGTGAGTCTCCTTTTCTCACAGTTCCACCCAAGTCCTGTTCTTCAAATAACTTCACATCTAAAGGACACAAAACAATAAGAGGGAATGATACATAACAATAAGAGGGAATGATACATAACAATAAGAGGGAATGATACATAACAATAAGAGGGAATGATACATAACAATAAGAGGGAATGATACATAACAATAAGAGGGAATGATACATAACAATAAGAGGGAATGATACAAAACAACATGAAAGAATGATACAAAACAATAAGAGGGAATGATACAACACAATAAGAGGGAATGATACAACACAATAAGAGGGAATGATACAAAACAATAAGAGGGAATGATACAAAACAATAGGGAGGAATGATAGAAACCAATAAGAGGGAATGATACAAAACAATAAGAGGGAATGATACAAAACAATAAAGGGGAATGATGCAAAAACAATAAGAGGGAATGATACAAAACAATAGGGAGGAATGATAGAAACCAATAAGAGGGAATGATACAAAACAATAGGGAGGAATGATAGAAACCAATAAGAGGGAATGATACAAAACAATAGGGAGGAATGATAGAAACCAATAAGAGGGAATGATACAAAACAATAGGGAGGAATGATAGAAACCAATAAGAGGGAATGATACAAAACAATAGGGAGGAATGATAGAAACCAATAAGAGGGAATGATACAAAACAATAGGGAGGAATGATAGAAACCAATAAGAGGGAATGATACAAAACAATAGGGAGGAATGATAGAAACCAATAAGAGGGAATGATACAAAACAATAGGGAGGAATGATAGAAACCAATAAGAGGGAATGATACAAAACAATAGGGAGGAATGATAGAAACCAATAAGAGGGAATGATACAAAACAATAGGGAGGAATGATAGAAACCAATAAGAGGGAATGATACAAAACAATAGGGAGGAATGATAGAAACCAATAAGAGGGAATGATACAAAACAATAGGGAGGAATGATAGAAACCAATAAGAGGGAATGATACAAAACAATAGGGAGGAATGATAGAAACCAATAAGAGGGAATGATACAAAACAATAGGGAGGAATGATAGAAACCAATAAGAGGGAATGATACAAAACAATAGGGAGGAATGATAGAAACCAATAAGAGGGAATGATACAAAACAATAGGGAGGAATGATAGAAACCAATAAGAGGGAATGATACAAAACAATAGGGAGGAATGATAGAAACCAATAAGAGGGAATGATACAAAACAATAGGGAGGAATGATAGAAACCAATAAGAGGGAATGATACAAAACAATAGGGAGGAATGATAGAAACCAATAAGAGGGAATGATACAAAACAATAGGGAGGAATGATAGAAACCAATAAGAGGGAATGATACAAAACAATAGGGAGGAATGATAGAAACCAATAAGAGGGAATGATACAAAACAATAGGGAGGAATGATAGAAACCAATAAGAGGGAATGATACAAAACAATAGGGAGGAATGATAGAAACCAATAAGAGGGAATGATACAAAACAATAGGGAGGAATGATAGAAACCAATAAGAGGGAATGATACAAAACAATAGGGAGGAATGATAGAAACCAATAAGAGGGAATGATACAAAACAATAGGGAGGAATGATAGAAACCAATAAGAGGGAATGATACAAAACAATAGGGAGGAATGATAGAAACCAATAAGAGGGAATGATACAAAACAATAGGGAGGAATGATAGAAACCAATAAGAGGGAATGATACAAAACAATAGGGAGGAATGATAGAAACCAATAAGAGGGAATGATACAAAACAATAGGGAGGAATGATAGAAACCAATAAGAGGGAATGATACAAAACAATAGGGAGGAATGATAGAAACCAATAAGAGGGAATGATACAAAACAATAGGGAGGAATGATAGAAACCAATAAGAGGGAATGATACAAAACAATAGGGAGGAATGATAGAAACCAATAAGAGGGAATGATACAAAACAATAGGGAGGAATGATAGAAACCAATAAGAGGGAATGATACAAAACAATAGGGAGGAATGATAGAAACCAATAAGAGGGAATGATACAAAACAATAGGGAGGAATGATAGAAACCAATAAGAGGGAATGATACAAAACAATAGGGAGGAATGATAGAAACCAATAAGAGGGAATGATACAAAACAATAGGGAGGAATGATAGAAACCAATAAGAGGGAATGATACAAAACAATAGGGAGGAATGATAGAAACCAATAAGAGGGAATGATACAAAACAATAGGGAGGAATGATAGAAACCAATAAGAGGGAATGATACAAAACAATAGGGAGGAATGATAGAAACCAATAAGAGGGAATGATACAAAACAATAGGGAGGAATGATAGAAACCAATAAGAGGGAATGATACAAAACAATAGGGAGGAATGATAGAAACCAATAAGAGGGAATGATACAAAACAATAGGGAGGAATGATAGAAACCAATAAGAGGGAATGATACAAAACAATAGGGAGGAATGATAGAAACCAATAAGAGGGAATGATACAAAACAATAGGGAGGAATGATAGAAACCAATAAGAGGGAATGATACAAAACAATAGGGAGGAATGATAGAAACCAATAAGAGGGAATGATACAAAACAATAGGGAGGAATGATAGAAACCAATAAGAGGGAATGATACAAAACAATAGGGAGGAATGATAGAAACCAATAAGAGGGAATGATACAAAACAATAAGGAATAATACAACACAATAGGAAGGAATGATAGAAAAAAACAGGAAGAAATGATAGAAAACAATAGGAAGGATTGATACAAACAATAGGGAGGAATGATACAAAACAATAGGAAGGAATGATACAAAACAATAAGAAGGATTGATACAAACAATAGGGAGGAATGATACAAAACAACAGGAAGGAATGATACAAAACAACAGGAAGGAATGATACAAAACAATAAGAGGGAATGATACAAAACAATTGGAAGGAATAATACAAAACAACAGGAAGGAATTATACAAAACAATAAGAGGGAATGATGCAAAACAATAAGAGGGAATGATACAAAACAATTGGAAGGAATAATACAAAACAATAGGAAGGAATGATACTGGGGATGTAATTAAATTACAAATGTGAATAGAATGACTTGGGTCCAGTGTACATGGGCTTGACACTCACAATTAGGGATGCACCGATACAGAGCATTTGGGCAAGTACTCATACTTGCCCAAATGCTCCGATACTTACCCCGAAACCAGAACTGACGGTCAGAGTGAGGTTCCTTCTGACTGGCAGTGCCGCAAGGGATTATGGAGCCAGTTTCACACTGTCTAGCTACACCGTGGGGCAGCCTGGCTACCTGACCAATCAGGAAGCCGGGCACGGGTCATGACCTGCCGCCCAGCTTCCTGATTGCCCGGAAGTCGGGGCCACGCTACCTCGGGATGTCGGTATCGGTACATCAGTGCATCTCTACTCACAATCCAGTCAAATACAGAGAAATGTAGTCTGTTTTGAACAATTTGTGCTCATGCTGATTTGTATTGAGGACTAAAAGTAAGGTGATCCATGGCAAATGGAACAATTGTGTGAGCGTCCATTGCTCCATATGATCCAGTACATAATTCAAACAATGGAATCCACACCTATAAAAATTGCTTCTCAAAAGCAAAACACAAATGACAATGTACATTATCCCTTGCAGGGCCATTTTAGCTGTATAGAGAATTCAAGGTTATATCATGTATACAGGGCACTCTTCTTGCCGGGGTGGGATTTGTAGGCTTGAAGCCATGAAAGTAATAATGGGCACTTAGACAGGGTTTCTTTTATCCCAGAGATGGGCTTTACCAATTCCTCAAATGTTTCTTAGAAGCACTGTGTATTCTGCTTTTCTGTGAATGGGCTGTTCACACTTTGCTGAATACCCATGAACAGGACCATGGATAGGACGGTACAGCTGGCTCTTCCATACTCGGCCCAGGACCCTATAAGGACAATAGGGGGGCCCGGCAGGGGCTGCCCACACAGCTTCCCCCAACGAGAACTCCCGGCGATGCTTGTGCAGCTTGTCAACTACAAGTAATCTGAGCAGCTGTACAGCCACCCAGATCACTCCTATTAGCCTGCAATTTTGCCGGGGGTCCTCTGCTCTTCTGGGGGGGGGCCCTGAACTATGGCAAATGGTGTCAGGATGGAGCAGACCTAGAAACGTTCATTCCCCGATCTGCTTTGTGATTAGTGAAGCAAGAAGCGCTGTGCCCTCAGCGCTTTCCTGCTTCAGAGCTGAATTGCAGGGTAAACAGACAATCAAGCACAATCCTGAGCTTTATCATCTGTATTGAAGACCAGGAGAGACATCAGGAGTCTAATAGACCCCTAATATCTCCACAAAGAGAACCTGTCACCGCCACATGCTATCACACAGGGGCTTGTTAGCCTCTTTGTGATAGCAAAGGTTAAGTGAAAACAATGTGAAACTAAAAAAAAAGGGATTAAAAAAAGTAAAAAAGTAATAAAATAAATAATAATAATTAAAACATTTAAACCAACCTTGCTATCTAATTTGAATGAACACATGTGCATAGGGGATGCATGTGTATGTAAAAGGGGAGGAAGGGGGCCCAAATCCAACACATATACATTTCTTTACATTTTTGCCCAAACAATCCCAGTCATTATGTTTCCAAACAGCTCCAACTCTCTCAGCTCAGCTATACTAAACTGTCCTGTACAAGATCACAAGGGACAGCATAGTGTCTAGCAGATGTCCATCTACTAGCTTAAAAAAGCAAAGAGGAAGGTAGCAGGAGGGGAGTGGCATGTCCTACTGTGTGTGTGTGTGTGCTTGGAGATGCACACAACTTACTAGTGCAAAGAAGGGTGGTTCCATAAGACCCTGCAAGGGAAAGGAGCCACCCTAAAACAGGATATCAGGGCCAGAGCTCAAGAGACCAGCTGATTCCGCAGGAAACTAAAACGTTTAAGCATCAAGGAGTATCATCCATTGTAAGTGATTGCATCAGCATTTAGAATAGCTTAAAACGTTTTTGACTTTACTATCAC